TATAATATGGCTCAGTGGGCAGCACTATTGCTTCACACCTCCAGGACGGGGTGTCCGAAAGCCACTCCTGCTCTGTGTGTGTGGAGTTTATGTGTTCTCCCCTCTGTGACCCTGTCCTGGATAAGTGTTTAGAAAATGGATGCATGCTAGGATATCTGCAGTATGATTTCACAAGCTATGCAATGACATGTAGCTGCTTGTTACAGCACAGCTTGTCTGGATGCGGCCTTGCTTTCAGTGGATGTCGGTTGTCATATTCCTGCCCGTCTCCTCCCTGTCATGGCCCTAACAAGCTACACCTATCTCTCTCATCTTGCCTCTCGTTCCTAACCCTCGTGTGGAAATCACTCATAGCTGCCTCTCGTTAGTTCCCTCGTTAGTCCTGTATATACGTGCTTCCCAGTCCTTTGTTGCCCAGTCCAGTCAATGACATCAAACCCTCCAGTTTTTGATCCCTCATTATTCTATTTATTTCCAGTCTCTATTCTTTAAGTTCAAAAAACCCACTTTTGTTTCACCACAATACCTGCTCTCATGTCTTTTGTCCTGCAAGTCATGACATCGGTAACCTTTGTGACATGGTTCAAGTTCGAAGATGTGGTACTCCAGAAAAAAAATAACAGAATAAAAGTGTGGTGAGCAAGAGCTTCATTTAAGCATGAGTAGAAGGATGGCTCCCTCTTTCACTGTCCATCTGACAGCTTCCTCTGAGGAGTGGCTGAGGGAGCCCTTCTGGCTGGGCGTCTCTTCCTACGTGCGACCAGGGAGTCGCTCCCACCTTATTTGCGTGCTGTAGTGTGCTGCTGCCCTAGGAAGTCTCGCCTGCTTTGAATGCTAAGTGGACAGGCGATATAGCAGAGAGCATTCGCCGTTGCTGTCTGTGTCCTTTTGGAGTGTTTCTGTCTGACTCCGCTCATCTGACTCCCTGTGTGTCCCTCTTTGTGTCCCTCTGTGTGTCCCCTAACTTATTATCCTTCAGGCAGGAATACAGGTGTACCTCTGACTGAAGAAATCAGCCTGAATTGCTTCGTAACTTTGTCGTACATGTACATTGACCAAAAAGATATTCTCATCTATTCTATCCTTTTCAGGAAATACTTAAACTGTGAGGTGAATAAAGCACAATACTGTATCCTAGGCAAGCTGAACATATTTATCTGATGAGCAGGCTCACAATCATCCTTCATGCTGATAATCTGGGCATCCAGTTCATGAACAAAGTGAAGTATAACTAGTAGCCTGTTGCTATCTCTTAGATGTCTGGCAGGCACCTGCTGATGTACCTGCCAGGTGGGGGGCAGGATTGGAGACCGAGGCCTTCAAATCCACACTCCAGGATGGGCCTGGGGGTGCCGTGCTTGAAGAAGTCACCCATGATCCTGCAGTAGATGCCTAGCTTTATATACAGACCAAAAAGGTACAGAATTGTGATGAATCTGAATGAAGGAACTGGATGTCTGCATTCTGAAGATTGTCTGGTCTTGATCCCACGAGTGGGATTTTTCCCAACACTAGTATGCACACAAAACTTTTTTCAGCAGTACAGGAAAAGTTTTAAGCCAGTCTCTATTAGAACCCAGGACCTAATGGTTCATCATTCATTCTCCAGGTAAAGCTCTGCTCCCATGCTTAAGACCAGGTAACAAGCATACAATTATATAGCCAGTTATTGTAGAGCCAGTTAACAATGTAAACATCTATTCCATAATTCTTCAAAGGTACATTAAATATTTCTTTTTATTTATCACAAGTTGAGCCTATAGAAGTGCTTTCCAGCACCTTCCCACTGTGCCGCCCAGCATCTGAATACTAATCGAATAATAGCCTCTCTGGCAAAGAAGCCGTTGGCTCAGCTTCCACCACATGGCCCTTAAGTAATTGGACCTAATGGGAGCGTCTAAGTGGACTGAAGTGAACCCATCGAATCAGCACTGTGTTATTACTGCGTTTGTGTTGTGATTACACTTGAGCTGGAAAACCACATAGTTTTTTTGGTAGTTTTGTGTCGTTACAGCCCTACAACCCTTATAATCAGCATTTTTATCATCCATCCATCCATCCCTCTGTCAAATTTCCTAACCCATACAGGGTGACGGGGGCTTGGAGCCTATCCCAGGCAGCACAGGACATATGGTCACTCTGGACAGGACCCCACTCCCTCAGACGACAGCATACGTTATTTATTTCATTATACTTATAAAGGTATATTGATACATGTATGTGTTTATAAGCCATGTTCATATCTGGCACATTCACCTTGATCTCTGAGCTCCAGTTTCTCAGTCCTGGGGCTTGCACACAGGTCTTCCTGAGGGGATCGTATCCACCTCTTGATGGATCTTGGGGGCTTTTATAGGGCATTAGTAACTGATGCTGATTGGCCAAAGGCAAGGACTGTTCTGAAGGTGCCTTAGGGTGGCGGCAAGGGGAAAAGGAGAACCAGAGATATCATTTCAACATTACTTTCCCTGTGCAGGCTGCAACCATATTGTTGAGTTCTACTGTGTTCAGTACAATATAAGTATTTATTTTATGCTATGTTTGATTGATATGTTATGTATGTAATATGTGTGTATGAATGCAAGTTATTTATGTTATGGAACCTGTTAGTAGATTTTGTTGTACTTCTGTATGCACAATGACAAATAAAAATCCTTGATATGGATGCAGCAGAATGAATTTGGGATTCTTTAAAAAAAAAAAAACAGCAACTAAACAGATTTTAATTTGAATGCTTCGTTCCGTCAGTATCTACTCTGAAATGATTGCGGGGGGTGTGTTTGCCATGCAGCCATTTATTTGGGCGGCCGAGCAAATACTGAAGCAAAATCAGCATTGTGGTGAAAGCTGATCAGGGTGTGGAACTGACCAGCACAAAGGTGGACAATGCTGGTAAAGCAATGTGTGGAATCTCACGGCAGGGGAGTGGGGAGTCGAGTCATCTGGCCCATCAAACAGTCTGTTTTACATTGGGCCTGGGGGGGTGTTGTAAGATTCTTGGGGCTCTGTGGATAGAAAACAATGCTCTCTAAATAATGATATTAACGAAGAGTAAACACAACATCTAATAGACGCAGAGGTGCTAACGAATTTATCAGACATTACTATAAATGAATTAAGCAAAACAAAGCCAGGTATGAGACAAAGAGTCCTCTATGCATCCTGTTAGCACTGCTCAACATATGCCAAAGATTTAAGTTCAACGCAGTATTTTTTAATGATTTGCTTTGTGTTCATTCACCTTAAATGAATTTGTCGAAGCGGGCGTATTACAAGTGATTCGCGGCACTGCGCTTGCGCTTTTTAAGGCGCCTTTTGTTCATCTGTTTGAAAGGCGTTAAAGCGAGCGATTAATTTAGTGCGACACCTTAAGTCTCTTGTTTCTATGTCTCACTGTCGCCCACCACGTGTATATTTAATTTGGAAATATGTGTATGTTATTGTCTATCGGGCCAGCATTTATATAACAATTACGCTCAAATATGCACATGCAATGAGCTGCGAGTGGACTAATTGGGAAGTGCATCTTTCCGCGACCTCCCTCCCCTCTTCCTCTGCTTCTCCTTCCCCTTCCCCCCCGCCTCCTTTTAACGTTGTCTCTCTCCTTCTCAAAGAACAGCTGAAATCCTATACTGGTGCGCCCTGGATCACCATGGAGACCAGCTTGGCGCTACCTCGCGCCGGGAAGACGAGACGGGCCCCTGGGGTCGCGCAGCCCCCCGGATCCCCCAGTCACTCCTGGCGTGGGACGCCCATCCCATCCGCCCAGAGTCATAGGCAATACAGTGCACAGAAAATTACATTTTTTCTTTCTTTACAAGGTTATCGGCGTAAATAATGCGACTCTGTGCTGACCTTTGATAGAATAACGATTATACTGCCTTCATACCTGTGACTGTGGTTGTGTACACATGCATTAAATGTGTCAGTTGTATTATATGGATTTTAATTAAATGGAAAGGAATGCACCGTCAAATCACCACTATCATCAGAATTCATTGTTATTGTCATTTCATCATCAACATTATTAATATAATTATTAATGTTCCTGTGGTTGTTGTTGTTGCCGTAAAGGTTGAACCTTTTGAATTTCTTAAATTATATAATGTCGTGGCACAATTAATTGAAAATGATGAATAGATCGGAACTGTTCATTACTTTTGTGCGATTTGAAGGGTTTACTTTCGATTTAAACACTTCTGTTGTGACTGGCGAAAAAGCACCTTGCTATCCTGTTATAAGATCTCATAGTTGTATGCATTTTCCGTGTCACTTGCTTTTCGCTTCGCTTGTCCTACTCTGCGTTTCAGCCTATTTGTATGGTAAAGATTGCATAAAATGCGGAATGTTATTATGAGCCACTTGTGAAAGTAGAGGAATAAAAAATGGTAAAATTGAGTTGTCGAGAGTATTTATTGTTGGGCGTCATTACATGTTTGCGGCTATCGATGAAATACAATAAAGGACATAACTGTTCGAAAATAAGATACCCCTCAAAGTTGCAATTAACAGAAACGTGGACAATCAGGAATGCGAGTCCTCATGAATATTTAATTAAGATACAACAAAATTTCATGACCTAACTATGTTACACACCCAGTGCTTTAACTTAAAATTGCAGCTGCCTAATTTTAATATGTTAGTTGATCTGATTTATTATGACGAAATGCGACGGCAGACCTTGATTGTACAAAATAAATACAGAATTTTTGCTGCTATATTGCTACTACTAGCCGTCTCCAGTTCTGCTCTGTTTAACGTCTAATGGAATTCATGTATTTGTAGTCCATTTTCGAGGCGACGTCAGGAACCGGGAAGGCTGTATCTGCAGCACACGCCTACATTGCCCATGATGACCATCGGCACGATACAAACTGCCTTCTAGCCATCTCTAGTTCTGCTCTGTTTAATGTCTAATGGAATTCTTGTATTTGTAGTCCATTTTAAGGAGTAAATCCAGAACCAGGAAGGCTGCTTCTGAAGGTCCCCCCTACACGTCCCATGATGCCCTTCGGCGCGATACAAACTGCCTTCTTGCGCTTAAGGAGTGTTTCCCATTTAAACAAACACTGCTGAAGATGGCGGAGAGTTAAGAGTGAGGGAAAAAAAGGAACTGCTGAGCTGTGAGGAATATACCGAAACTGGTAGGTCCGGAGTGGCTTCGTTTACTGCATGTTGTGTGGCCCGGGTCGTGAGATTTTCGGCGTTACTTGATTAGTCGTAATCCGTTATGAAAAATGTGAAGATCGACTTTGGTGAGATATCAGCAGCTACCTTACAGTCATATCGCAGTCTGTGCTGTCGCGCCGCGTCCGTCCCTGTGTTTTAAGGATGCATTTAAATGTTATTTAGCAATAATCTGCTGGAAAATAGGCGGCTCACTTTCCCGACCCCGCCAATAGTAGTATATCTATTTACATTAAGTTAAGAGAAGGCTGTGCTCAAAACCTGCCAAGATTTTGTAAAGTTTTTTTCTCTCCTTTCTGACGCAAACCAAAAACATTTTCGGCATTTGGGCAAGTGTTGGAAATATAGGCAGATATTTGAGCAACGTGGTGCTTAACGCCGTTTGATCTCTTTTGCAAACTTTATCAGCATTTGGGCTGTGCTGCTTCGGCATGCGCGCGCCTTACGGTCGTCCCTTTAAATACCCAGCATTGGTATTAAACATTTATTCGTGTGAAATGCCGTCCTGCCATTTACGTCACGCTTGCATGTTTTTTAAGTTTGTGCGGGGGATTATAAAGGTGGTTTTTCTACTGTCGCGACTTGCAAACTTTAACTTGAATAGAATATTTATGGTGCATTTCACCACTCGGACAGAGCACAGGGGACTCCGTGTGCAGCTTACAAGTGTCCTTATAAATCAGCGGGGGCACTTTACTGTCCCTCGGTAGCCCCCCGGAAAAAGCGCCGCCGTCTCGGCTGGTAGTGCGTGTCGGGGGGGCTGCCCCGACTCTTGGCCAACGGTCTGCGATGCCTCTGCTGGGCGAATCCCCCGCCCCCCACGATCACTGTGCACAGCCTGGCTGCCGATAGATGCACGGTGATAAATCGCCCTGCTCCTGTGTGGCCGTGGTGCCGGGCTGCAGGGCTGTGGGGGTGAGGGCGGCGGTCACCGGCTTGCGACCTTTTCCCCGACGTGATGAGTCCTGCCGGCCGATGCCGCCGCGCTGCGCAGGCCGAGCTCCAGGGTCCGAGGGGAATAAACATGAATGTTTCCGATGCATTGCAGAGGTGCACGTTTCTGGAAGTGTTTACATCGTGGCGTTCGCGCATTCAATTGCAGTTGAAATCTGAGACGCACTGTGCAAATTTTCCATATTGGATGACTTAATGATGGTTTAATATGGCTTAATAACGATGATGATTTTCGCCGTAGTGTCATTCGGATTCATTGACCGTCGTTCGCTGTAGACTCCGGGCTGACAAAGGGCCGGCGGGGCTTAGTGAATCTCTGCTGCCGCTTTGAGTTTAATGGTCACGGCTGTGGAGGTTCATGCCGGCGGCCGGCTGCCGATCAGTGCGTTGTTCATCATTCAGACACTGCTTTGATTCTTAAGTACGGCGGGATTATGAAGTAGAAATGATTTTAAAAGCACGGAGCGTCTGTCGATGCCTTCCCCGGGTGCCACAGCCATCTGTTTCTGCTGTGGGCTGAAAGAGGGGCAGCAGATTGCATGGGGACTCTACAGGTGACAAAGGGACGGTGGCAGCCCCCCCCACATACACACACACACGTACGCACACACATGTGCGTGCAGGCAGGCATGATCCGCCCTGCACTCACATTCTCCACCAGTCACAAACACCAGGTGTACCTCGCTCACACCGTAACAATTTTTCCCCTGGCTTTCTGACACACAGAGGACCTTTAAGAAGCAGCGCCCCACATCGCAACCACTTTTAACATTAAAATGTGTCCTGGTTCCTCTTAGGAAACAGCGACCAGTTCTCACTGGGTACTGACATAGTTTCAGGTTAACCTGGAAGTTTGAGACTTAATATTTTATTTTGTTATTTCTAAATGTTTAATTTGTTTCCTGTTACTGTTTATCCCTCTGTTCTGGTGAATTGCCCACTATTTTGCATGTAGAAAATGCTAATTAGCTACATTAGGGTATATTTTCATGGTAGGAGTAGAACTGTCCAACCATTTCTGCCAGTCTTCCACGCTGTGGTTGTAAGGCTTAGGGCTGGGCTGTCGGCGGGTTGTGCTTAACCCACCTGTGCATGAATCGCTGTTTGTGTGTCATCCTGCCTCTTACTGCCTGGGTTTTAGTGCCTGTGCACTGCTGCACGCAGAGGTTACACAGTGCTCAACACCCCAGCTGTTTCCAAAAAGCTTTGGCGATTGTGTCACTTTAGTCAGGCTCTAACTGTAAGGAATAGTAGCCCTTTTTTAATTTATTTGCGGTTTTCCTTTGTTTAATTGTTTTTGTCTAGCTGTATGTATGTCTTAAGCATAAAGTGGCATGACTCTAGGGTGGGTCCTTAAGTTAAAGTGTGTGCGCGTGTGTGCTGCATGCGTGGGCTGGTAGGTTTCCCTGGCAACCTGTTGTTACTTGGTGATAGGGTACTTTTGAGTGGCAGGGCAGCAGGGTGTGTCATAACTGCTGGGGGTTGATCTGGGGCCCTGGGTGACGATATTCCCTCGCCGTGACGGTGGCCTTTCTTGCAGCGATGCTAGTGACATCCCCTCCAACAGTACTGGGCCAGACTGTCTTTTGTCCGCTGATGGCATGATGTAGTTACATCGTGATCACTGTCCTGACCAGTAGGTGGCATAGTGTTTAAGGGTGCGGAGTTGGAACTGGATATTTACGGCGTCGTATCCGATGTTTGGCTTCCCGGAGTGGGTTTTACCAAATAGGTGGCTTAGACCTTCAGCTATTTAACTGGTTGAATAAGTAATCGTTGGTTTTAAACTGCTGGTGGGTGCAGGGCAGGCAGCTGCAGTCGGAGTGTGGTCTAGCTGCGGAGAGCATGCCTCTGGCTGGCACGTGGCGGCTCTGCGGCCTGCACAATCCACGCTGACAGCATCTCCTTTGCTCATTTTCATTTTCTCCTTCTGTTTGTAGCTGTGTAGTTTATTTGAGCCGGAGTTCACGCATGAAGAGTTTCACTCTCTCACCCTCCGAGTCGTGGAGCTGCACACAGCCCCAGGCCGGCCCGCGTCGTCATGTGTACCGTATCCTCGTAGAATGTATTGGAACGTGCTGGCAGCCGGTGCAGGGCCCCTTGGCCTCACACTTAGGATTTGGGTGGGGGTGGGGGGGGGGACTCGTGCCTGCAATGTTGTAGCCGTCCTTCTTGCCAGAGTGGAGTTTCCAAGGGGGCTCCTTTCTTAGGCAGGAGGCTCCCTGTACTCCCATTCTCCCTTGGGTTGGTTATGGGACCAAAGTACTTGCAGTTCTTCATTTGGGGCTGTTGGGGGCCTGTTTATGTCCTGTTTCCTGGCTTTCGGTGATGGGGGTTTTTAATTTCTGTGGTCAGCTTGCCTCCTTATTCAGTATCTTCAAATCCAGGTCATTAAAATAATGCTAACATCAGGTCACTGGTTTGCAACACTGTGTGGTGTTAGGGGGCTGTTTGTAAAATGGTTCTCCTAGAGACCTCCTCTCTGTTATAAGGCTGTGTCCATAATAATTGCATTTGCAGACTTCACATTGGCATGTGTGCTGACAGCCCCCTGAACCCAGCAGCTGTGCATGTGTGCTACTGCATGTACGTTAGCATGTTAGCAGACATGTTTGTGGATTATTGCTCACTCGTTAGCATGTCACTTGGTGTGTGGTCTATATTAGCGCTCATTCATTAGCATGTTAGCAGGCATGTGTGCTATTGCTTGCTTATTAGCATGCTAGCATTTGTGTGTGCAATATTGCTCGCTTGTTAACATGAGGGAAGGCATGTGTGTGTTTGTGCTGACTCGCGCATTAGCATGTTAGCAGGCATGTCTGTGTGCGCGCACTCGTGCTCATGCAATTGTTAGCTCCTTCATGATCCCAGCCTGGTTTTTCCACGTTGCTCTCGGTGTCTTGGGTGCCGGGGCCCGTCTGCATGTTACAAAGCAGCCTGGGAAGGCGCTCTGGTCTTGTGGGGGTCCCTTAAGTGCCACAGCGGCTGCTGCGTCTCGGAGGCTTCCGGGCGTCTGCGTGGGAACGTGCCTCATGGAACCTCAGTCCTGCACGCGGGTCCTCCGTCTGCTCTGCCACGGACGGTGCAGAGTCCCAGTTCAGCCGTCGCTCTGTATTGTTTTGAAGGCTCGGAATCTGGGTCCCCCGTCTTTGTGTGCGGGAGTGTGTTGGCTCGCCTGCAGCCCGACACGCCGCCTTGCTCTGCATGAGCCCGCCGCTGCGCAGGCCGACCAAATGGCCCCGTGGCTCCAAGGCTGTCTCTGCTGAAATGGGGCTGCTGCAGATGGTCTCAATTATCATTATGTTTCGGGGGGCTGGGGGGGGGTTTTTTCGTCATCCTTGCCACTGCTGGTAAAATCTGAGGTGTGTTT